GACTAGATGACCTACAAAGCCCCTTCCAATTATGCTAATCTCAAATCAGTAATGAAGTATTTTTAACTGGGTTACTGACACTATCCCTACAAGAGAAGCAAAGCTGGAGAAGTCTAGTTTACAACTATGGAATTCCCTAATAGTTTCCTACCAGGTGTTCATCCGGTGCAGCTTCTCCTTAACTTGTTGCTAATACCTTATTGCAATTTTATGGTATTAGCAGGTCTTAAATACCTTAGCTGGCATTTTTTTAAAAAAATGATATCCTTATATGAGGGTACAGCCCATCCAGGTCAACATATGAAGCTATCACCTGGCCCATTAGCACAGAGTTTTCATAGAATTAGCATCTCTCTGGTACAATTTACATAATATCATGCAAATCAATAATAAATGTAAATGCATTGCACCCGAGGTGAGAAATGATAATTCTCTTCCGTTCTCACTGCTGCTGCTACATATTCTGTCACTTTGGGGTGTTGAAGGAAATATCCATCTGGTTCAGTTTCAAGCAGGCAGAAAGACGCTGGAAACATGGAGGCTGATTGGAAAGATGGTTTATTCATGAACAGGACCACATGGGTTTGAGGTCTTGGGCCGCTGACCACATGGAGTTGAGAGTGAGGGTTATTTATACCTTCTCTTGGACTTTGCACTTGAACTTCCTGTTCCTGTGCAAGAACATGTATTCTATTGGCTGTTGTCAGACTCCCGTGGGGCCATGTACAAATCCTAGGAGTTTGTCTGAGCTAGGTTTGGTTGAAATTTGGGCTGACGCAATGAAGGGGCTTGCGGAGCAATTCCTATTGTGGCTGAGGACTAATCCTACCTTGGTTCAGATCTCGCTGCAGGGAATATTTGCCTATGAGTAGAGTGTCAGTCTTGGAAGCCATCTTTTACTTGGAAGCTTCGAGGCTGCCCCATTCAGTGCCTGGGAATTTGGGAGGGGGGATTTCATAGGGAGGTAGAAGATTAGATTCATCTACATTCTTTCTCAGACATGTTACTCTGCACCCGGAGGGGAGCGACTGGAGGGATGTCTCCGGTTGGGATGAAGATTTGACTGGGCCATGTGATGGACTGGTGGGTGCAAGGGATGGAGATTGGATTTTTCTTTTGGGAAGGGAAAACCCAGAACTCTCAGATTCGGCTTTTCCCAGATGCGCCAATATGAGAACTCTTAATAAAATGGAACTTTGAGGAATTGTTTGTTTTGGAGTTTATTGGGTTGGGGTTGGTTAGTTGGAATGCTGACATAGAGCTAGCTATCTCTTTATCTCTTAAATGCTGACATTTGCTGTGGGCTATTAAGGAAGTTGGGGGATGCTTTCTTCCTCTAAGAAAACATGTTTCTCCATTTCTCATGCAGGGAAATAGACTCTTCTGCATATGTGTGTGTGTGTGTTTGTGTGTGTGTTTTCTTATGTTTTCACAGGTATTTATATGTATGGTATTCAATTTTGTTCAGGAATTTTCCCACGTCTTAGAAAATACCCAAACAAAGCTGAATACCATATATATGTGGGGGTGGGGGTGGCTGTTTGTATTTATTGTATTTCCATTATTACAACTCAAACCATCATATTTTCAACAGCATTTTTGACATCTATACAAAGTTTTATCTTGTACACCTTAACACATTACATTTACATTCACCAATTAATACCTTTATCGATAATTATATTCTTATATATTCTACATATCTACTATTCGTTTTCTTGAGGTCTCTTATAAATTAATTTTCACCTTTTATTTCTATTTGTTATCCAATTGTACCATTTGTGCCAAATTAAAAATATTCAGAGTCTTCTTTCTCTTTCAATTTCAATGTAAGCATATTCATTTCGGCATTTTCCATTATTTTTGGTTGTATCAGTTCTTCACTAGGGGTACTGGAAGTTCTCCACATTTGTGCAAATGTCTTCTGCCTTTTTAAAATCTTCTGCCTTTTTAATATTTCTCAAAATATGTCATTCTTCTAGGAGAGGGGTGGGTGCTAACTTTCTACATGGAATTCGAGAAGAGTCAAAAAAGCTGTCAGCCAGAAGCCAATAAATTCAGAGCTGTATGTCTCCACCTCTAATCAATGACGGTCTTACAAGAAAACATTCCTCTCACAACAGTTTGTTTAGTGACTATTCAAAACTACAACGGCATTGAAAAAAGGTGACTTACAGCTGTTTTTCACACTTATGACCCTTGCAACATTTCCATGGTCACATGATCAAAATGCAGACCTCGTCCACTGACTCGTGTTTATGACCATTGCAGTGTCCCCAGGTCATGTGGTTCCCCCCCTTTTGCGACCATCTGACAAGCAAAGTCAGTGAGGAAGCCAGATTCATTTAACTTTGTCATTGTGGCCCGAACGATCATAAAATAAGACAAAACTCACTTAACGGCTGTCTTACTTAGCAGCGGAAATTTTGGGCTCATAAGCCAAAGGCTACCTGTACACTTAATAATATCATTTAGCATATGAAACAGAAACTTTTCATAATAACGTTTGTGTCCTGGGGGGCTATAATTAACTTGGTATCATCCCTGCCATGTTCCTGTTAGACTCTGACCCCGAGGGAGAGGAGGAACAGCCAGCAGGGAGTGGGAGTGTGGCTCCGGAGGTTATGGAGGAAACTGGGGAAGGGCAGAGGCCAGCAGGGCATTCAGAGGAAGACCCAGGCCCACCCCCTCTTCATCCTAGGGCACACAGGGAGGAATGGATAAGGGAGCAATGTGAGTTGCATGGTTTACGGGGGAGGAAAGGGCCCTGATTCCTTTCATGGGCTGCAGCTGTGAAGACTGTTTAAAAGGACAAACTGCACATGGGCCAGTGCTGGAAGCAAAGCATGAAATAATTCTAGTCTTTCGGTTCTTATCTGAGTTTTGGCGTCCTAGCCAGTGTGTGTATTTCGATATCCGTGGACGTCTTCAAGCCCTTATCCTGCCTTGTCTCACTAATTGCTTTAGTGTGGATTGTGTTGTTTTTTCCTGTTTATAATTTATATGTATTTTGAGTTTGAATGGCATTTCTTCCTTTTCGCAACTGTTTGTGGGGGAGTTTTTTTCCCCTGTCAATGATAATTGGAACCTTTAAAGCCAAGTTGAAGGAATTAAAGAGGCTTCACCTGCTTTTGTGACTTTGTTGCTTTTGTATCCCACACTGGGTCATCACAGTCCCTGAGAAGATTTCAACATCTTCAGGCCGACTATGAAATCCTGGTCTGAAGGCGACCTCTTTAGAAACATCTAGCTCCATGGAAAGCATAAGTGTTCCCATAAAGGTATGGTATTTAACTGAAATGGGTAAAATGTTTAATATTGTTAATATTAATGATTAGACTATGTTGTCCTAGTGGAATTTTTTTTTGAAATGAGAGATTTGGAGTAGGAGAAGGGGGAACAGCCTAATGAAATAATGATTTAAAATATGTCATGTGGGGGGGGAATAATCTTGGAAAGTACGTGCTCCCATAAAAGTATGTGATTTAATTGAAAAGTAATGTGTTAAGTGTTTAAGATATAAATGAATATTAATATTAATGAATAGATTTGTATTGGTATTGATAATATTGTATAATTTTAGAATGTACCAAACAGAATCCCAATGTAAGCTGTGTATTCTATATTAAGTATTATAAATGTAGGGGAAAGAGATAAAGGCGTCATACTCCAATTAGTGTACAGGAGAAGTTTTCTTTAAAAAAGAAAGATAAATGAATAGCTGGAAGTAGAACAGAGAAAGAATAATATTATGATTCGAATTGAGATGAGATAAACAAATAAAATAAAATTAAGAAAATTTAAAAGAGAGGAGAAGCTATATAGAAAATTGAAAATGTTAATAAGATACGGAATGGTATATAAAATGAATATGAATTTGATTTTGTGTCTGTACGAAGAGTTTTAACCCAGGACTAAGCAACCTTCAGAAAAGAGGTTTTTTATGTTTCTATGTCTTGTGTTTCTGTATGTCTTTAAAAATTAATAAAATTTGTTTTTAAAAAAAGAAAGAAACATCGAGCTCCATGATGGCAAACCTACGGCATGTGTGCCGGAAGTGGCACCCAGAGCCACCTCTCCAGGCATGCCAGCCATCGCCCGTGGCTCTTCCAGTTTCCAGTGTGTGTATACGCGTGGCCAGCTGGTCTTTGCACATGCACATGTGCGCCAGAAACCAAAAGACCAGGTGGCCAGAGTGCATGTGCACGCCGGGGAGCTGCTCTTCTGGTTTCCGGCACTCCCCCACGTGCGCGCGCGCACACTCTTGATTCAACACTCGGTGCCAAAAAGGTGCGCCAATACTAATCTAGCTGAACATTGAGCATTATTTATTCATTCAAAAATCTTTCCACTTTTCTGTTTATAGGCCACCCACCTTTCCTTTTAGCCCAACCCCATGTTTGAGGGACGCGGTGGCTCAGTGGCTAAGACACTGAGCTTGTCAATCAGAAAGGTCGGCGGTTTGGCGGTTTGAACCCCTAGCGCCGTGTCACAGAGTGAGCTCCCGTTGCTTGTCCCAGCTTCTGCCAACCTAGCAGTTCAAAAACATGCAAAAAATGCAAGCAGAAAAATAGGGACCACTGGTGGGAAGGTAATAGCGTTCTGTGTGCCTTCGGTGTTTAATCCTGCTGGCCACATGACCACGGAGACGTCTTTGGACAGCGCTAGCTCTTCGGCTTTGTAGCAAAGATGAGCAACACCCCCTAGATGGTGGAAATGACTAGCACGTATGTGCAAGGGGAACCTTTACCTTATGTTTGACTTCAGCCCTCACTAAATCCCAAAATTTATTTTTTCAATGCTCGTCCTGCCCATCTCTTCTACAAGGTGACTTTTCTACAAGGTGACTCTGCTAGAAGAGATGGGAAGCAACCTTGCAAAACAAAGCCCACCTTGCCTGATCAGCTTGTGTGTCTTTCGGAGTCACTACAGGTGAAATGTAGGAAACATTTACAAAATGCCACACACAACTTAACATTTAAGCAACGTGGAAAGTTTACCTGTTTGAAGTTGCCTCCGAGGAAACACCTGGAATTTCTGGAACAGGTCGATGCCGCAGCATGAAAGATCGTGTTGGCCTGGCACCTACTCTGGATGGACTTTGGGTGCAATACAGATCATTTTCCACCATTTCACCTTTGAACTCAAAGAACGGCGTCTCCTGAGGATCATCGAGCAAACTTCCCAATCCTGATAACAGCGGATGTTCCATCTCACTGGTTTTCTTTTCAGCAGGAGAGAAAGCAGAAGACAGAAATCCATCTTTGGGAGCGGCATTAAGTTGAACCTCCAAGCTTTCTGGCTCTCCTTTCTTCAGATAATCATCATCCATGAAAGGTTCCTTCTCTGACATCATGTTTTTCAGTGAGTTTGGTGGCACCGTGGTGGGATCTGCCAACAGATTTGGACCAAACATGTCCAAAGAGTCCACATCCAAAATTGGACTAGCTCTGTTTCCCAACAAGGTGTGAGTTGTATTGTGGGGATTTCTTTCAAGGTTGCTGACGCAAGTTTCATTGGTGTGTCCATCAGATGGCCCGCCACCTGCTTCCTTCTGTTTGGGATCGAGGAGATGCTTGGGAGAGCAGCTTTGACTGGATGTAGAAGTTTCTGGCATTTTGGTAAACATGGCCTCCAAGTGTTTGAGGATTCGTCTACGGTGGCCCGTAGGTGATATTCCAATGTGTTGAAGAACACTTTCATTTATTCCCACGCACTCTTGCAAAGTGTGGTAGCCAAAGTCCCTGAAGTTTAAAAGGTACTGTCCCAGGTTGATGCCAATTAAAAAGGCTCCGATATCTGGATCAGCCTCCCTGAATGACATAATGGCAATTTCATGGGTGTGTTATTTTGCCATCAGAATCCCAAAGAGGCATGATTCCATAGGGTCATATGGAGAAGCCAGACAAAATCCTTCTCCTACACAGAGTAAGATGTCATCCACCAACAGCAGGGGTGCAAATAAATCCCACAGAGTTTCCAATCCTACAATAAGAAGGGAAAGAGGACAATATATTAACATTGGTTGCACTATTACGGAATCAAAATTTGCACTCATACTCATAAAGAAGCCAAGTCCTTTGGTGAGGTTTATTGTCAAGGAAAATACTGTTGAGTAAACAAATATCTGGTCTTTCGCCTCTTGCTGGAAGAAGTTCCTACAAAGACCAGGAGGTCAAACTATTTTTTAAAGCACCAGAAGGCCAAGACAAGAACCAATGGATGGAAACTAACCAAGGAGAGAAGCAACCGAGAACTAAGGAGCAATTTCCTAATGGTGAGAGCAATTAAACAATGGAACAGTTTGCCTTCAGAAGTTGTGGATGCTCCATCACTGGAGGCTTTCAAAAGGAGACTGGACAACCATTTATTTGAAATAGGGTCTCCTGCTTGAGCATGGGGCTGGACTAGAAGACCTCTATGGTCCTTTCCTTCTATTCGATTCGATTCTGTTGTTCTGTTCTATTCTATTCTTCATTCCTTCTATTTTATTCTGTTCTGTTCTAATTCTAATTCTAATTCTATTCTTCATTCCATTAGTCTCTTCTCCTGTCTTTTCTCCTCTCATCTCCTCTCATCTCCTCTTATTCTCTACTTTACTCTAGTTTTCTGAACTTTCTGGTTCTTCCATCCAAAGAACATATAAAGGAGGAGATCTGAAGACATTAAAATAATGTAATGACAAACATGCATTTGCAATTAACCATTCACCCAGTTTCCAAGCAACTGGATAATCTTTTATAGGTTGGGAGTCGCCAGTTTTTGTTCCTTTTCTTAGCTTGTCCCATACATGACTAATAATGACTGGGAGGCAAAAAGAGACAGATAGAAGTGTCAAAAGGTTTATGGAAGAGATCTCCAAACTCACTCCCCCAAATCAAGTTCATAAGCCATTGTTGTTTATCATGGCATTAATTCCTTCCTTGTGGTTTTTCCCTGAGTTGAATTTTTATAATATCCACCTTAATATTTTCACCTTAAGACCAAAAGGTGGTCGCTCAAAACTTTGAGGTTTAGATATTTATCTCTAAATAAGAAGAGGCAACCTTATGGGTCTGTGTGGTGTTATTCGTCAGCTTAATCACATCCAGAGAACCTTAGCTCAAGACGTGTTTTAAATTTAGGGAACACGTTGAAGTGGCAACACAGGAAGAGGTGGTATTCAGCAGGTTCTGACCAGTTCTGGAGAACCGGTAGCAGGAATGTTGAGTAGTTTGGAGAACTGGCAAATCCCACCTTTGACTGGCCCCGCCCCCATCTCTTCTCTGCCTCCCGAGTCCCAGCTGATCGGCTGGGTCTTCTTTTGTTGCCCTGCACAGGAGAACAGAACTGGAAAGCAGGTTAGTGGGGTGGGGAGGGAATGGGGATTGTGCAGTATCCTTCCCCCTGCCATACTCACCAAGCCATGGCCACTAAGCCACACCATACCCACCAAGTCACGCTCACAGAACCAGTAGTAAAAAAAATGGAATACCACCACTGGATGAGGGCACAATTGCAATATACTGTATATCTTTAAATTGTTACAGAAGAACAATATAAGGAAAGGAAAATGTTCTCCAGGGGCGGGGTTGCACTGTAATATTATTATTACCTTTTTGTCAGAGTACAACATGTATACAATGAGATTGGCTGAGCCTCCCTTCGTGCACCCCACACACACACACACACACAACTCATAGTGAGGACACAAGTCCCTAACCCAGTCTCAATCTTATTACACCATGTGACCTTATCGCACAACGCACCAGCCCCACAAGTCTATCTAACTATGTTGACATGAAGTTATTTTCTGTTCAGAAATCTGGCAGCCCATAAGTAAAAACTGTTTTTCAGCCTGTTGATGCGGCTGGCTATGCTTCTCTATCTCCTACTTGATGGTCGGAGAGTGAAGAAGTGCTGACTGGGATGTGAGTTGTACCTGAGGACTTTCCCCACTCTTCTAAGGCAGCGAGCCCTAACGAGGTCATCTAGTGGTGTCTGGGAACAGCCCACAATGTTTTGGTGCTGTGCTCACCGCCCTCTTTAATGTCTTTCTATTTGTATTTTTTTTCTCATTTTTTTGTATTTAGATGTGTATGTACTATGTTTGTATTACTTGTATTTAAAATAAGAAAAAAGAAAAAAAAATCAACCATTGAATTGTTGTGGAAAGGGTCCTTCTTAATCTTGAAAGCAACCCATACTTTCTGTGGACATCTGAGTGCCTCAACTATTCGTTGCATGGAGGTTCTTTCTAATCTTGAGAGTCAGGAAGCAGCAGAAGAGGAGGTGACATCGGAGAAGCCCATAAGGTAATAAGAAATAGGATTCCACATTGTGCCGGGTCAACCTGGGCAGGTAGCTTTAACCACAACAACCACCTCCCTTCATGTTTTATGCAACTGTTTTCTTTGTCAGGTGAAGCACACACCAGTTTTGGCTTGAGTTTTTCAATTAGCAACCAAAGCACAGTTCGAAGGCTCTGATTGTAGAAAGGAAAAACCAGCTTCTCTGCTTTTAACAATGGAAGTGAACCAGAATTATTAGTATTATTTTTACTTCCACCTTCTCCGTAAGTAGCAGGCAGGGCGGACTTTGCAAGCCCTTCAGTCTTGCCAAACTTCAAAAGCACCTTGCTTTATTTCCTCGCCTGAAGCATTCGCTCACAAACCGCCCAGGCAAACTCTCAAAGGAGAGGCTCCCTCCAAAAGTTTCATTCACACGTTCAAGTTGCTGCTATTCCAAAAGCTGGCTTGTTTCTCAGTTCCCTAAAGGGCCATCAGAAACAAAAGAGTTTTGACTTGTACGGCAATATCCCAGGAAATACATGTCGGAGGATTTATAGCGAGTCGCCTCAATCGGATTCCCATCCTTGGGGAGGAAAAACAATTGTTTTTATAAAATGGTTTATAAATGACTGGGAATCCAGGGTCTGCTTTCAATTCAGAATAGAGCTGGAAGGGACCTTGGAGGTCTTCTAGTCCAGCCCCCTGTTCAAGCAGGAGACCCTATATCATTTCAGACAAGGGGCTGTCCAGTCTCTTCTTAAAAACCTCAAGTGATGAAGTACGTACAACTTCCGAAGGCAACTTCTGTTCCACTGGTTGTTCATCCTCACTGTTAGGAAGTTTCTCCTTAATTCCAGATTGTTTCCCTCCTGGATTATTTTCCATCCATTGTTTCTTGTCCTGCCCCCTGGTGCTTTGGAAAATAAATTGACCCCCTCCTCTTTGTGGCAGCCCCTCAAATACTGGAAGACTGCTGTCCTTTCTTTTCTCTGGACTAGCCATACCCAAATCCTGCAAGAGTTCTTCACATGGCTTACTCTCCCAGCCTTTCATCATCTTGGTTTGCACTTTTTCCAAAGTTTCAACATCATTTTTTGGTAATGTGGTGACCAAAACTAGGTGTGGTATCTCAGGCGTGGCCTTACTAAGGTTTTATAAACTGGTTCGAATACTTCGTGTGATTTTGTTTCTGTGCCTGTTTCTACAACCAAGGATAGTGTTAGCTTTTTTGGGTGCTGCCACACACGGCTGGCTCATGTTTAAATGACTGTCCATTAGGACTCCAAAATCCTTCTCACAGTTCCTACTGGCTTTGTAGGAAATGAAACAGGTGTAGTCCTCGGCTTACAACAGGTCCATTCAGTGACCGTTCCAAGTTACAACAACGGCCCTTGAAAAATGAGGTTTCGATTTTGGGTTTTACCAATTAGATTGATGGGTTGTTGTTGTTTTTGTTGTTTTTATAGAAACAGCTAGTTGATATTATTCTGGGAAAACAGAAAGTTGTGGCTTGGTGTTAAGGGTCTGTAGAGATTCTCAGTCAACCCGGTCAGGGCTATGCTTTTTCAGGAGGCAATCGGACTTCCTTGTTTTTCTCTTTTGAAAACATTTTGCTTCTCATCCAAGAAGCTTCTTCAGCTCTCACAGGGTAGTGGGGAGTGGAAGGAATTATATTGTATTGTATTGTATTGTATTGTATTGTATTGTATTGTATTGTACTGTACTGTACTGTACTGTACTATACTATACTATACTATACTATACTATACTATACTATACTATACTATACTATACTATTATATTATATTCAGATGGTCATTTGCATCTTTTTAGAGGGTCGTTGAGGCCACTTGGAGGTTTATCTGTGTCCTCAGGATCACCTGAGTGGGGCTCCTGGTTCCTATAGTCTGCGATTTTTCCTCTGGAAATCTTCAGAAGGTTTCAAGTCTTCCAAAGGAAAAAAACAAGGAAGTCCAGTTGCCTCTTGAAGAAAAGCACCTTTGGGACAATCAGGACCTGGAGGACTGAAAATCTCTACACACCTTTAGCTATACAATTTGGGATGGAGTGGAAGTAGGAACGGATTTTCCAAAAGAAGAAGAAAAGAGGAAGAGAGAGAGGACTGTGCTTGTGTTAGAGAGAGAAAGAGAGTTTCTCTCTCTTCCTGTCTCCCTCTTTCTCTGTCTCTCTTTCTCTCTCTTTCTCCCTCTCTCTTTCTCTCGCTCTCTAGCACAAACACAGTCCTTCTCTCTCTTTCTCTCATTCTTGTTCTCTTTCCCTCTACGCACACAGTCTCTCTTTCTAGAGTCTTTCCCTCTCTCTCTACGCACATGCAATCTTTCTCCCTTTCTCTTTCTCCCTCTCTTTCTCTCACTCTTTCTCTTTCGCTCTCTACACACACACACACAATCTCTCTTTCTCCATCTCATTCTCCCTCTCTCTCTACACAGTCTCTCTTTCCACACACACAGTTTCCCTCTCCCTTTCTCCCTCTTTTTCTCTCGCTTTCTCCCTGACTTTCTTTCATTCTTTCTCTTTCATTCCCTTCACACACACACAGTCTCTCTCTTTCTCTCTCTCTCTCTCTCCCTCCCTCCCTCCCTCCCTCATTCTCTCTCTCACCCCGCCCCCAGATTAACAACAGCAGGAAACCACTTCAGAAAAATACTGCTTAAAGAAAAGTGCATGGGCGTGTCCAGGCAGTTGCCAAGAGTT